CAATGTATCTAGCGCCCCTATAAACTTTTAAGGCGGTGTCAACGCAGACCGCCGGAAAGTTGTGTAAAATGGCTTGGTGTGCAACTCCTTCATGTGACACCGATTCGTAAAAAGTCTGCAAGTCAACAAACAGCACTATGCGACAACGCTTGCGGACACGCGAGATTTCAGCCTGAAGGAGACGAGTGATGCTCACATCAAGCGTTGACTGGCCTGGAACCGCTTGTTCCCATGGGGCCTGTTGCTGAAACGACAGCACCCAGGACTCAACTACAGGATAGCGCAACTTGGCCCAGAGGCGGTATGTCGCATTGCACAGTGCTATAGGTCGTTCAACCCGGGAATTTTTTGGCAACATGGTGATTAAGGTCGTGAGCCAGTGCTCTGGCAACACTCCTTCGCACTCAACTCTGCGAAAGATGGAGAGCAGGGCCGCCAACGCTTCATCAGGAAGCAGCTTGAGCTGTGCATAGCTCCAACCATCAGCACCACCCGCTTTGTTTGCCAATTTGCGCAGCTGGGAACGTATTAAGTCAAGGGTGGCGGGCTGCAAGAATTTGGCATGTTGCCGAGCACGCTCATGGAGCTCGGGCGACAAGTCAGGCAAGGGCGTGGGCTGGGCTTTCCAAAGTTCAACCCAGAAATCCAACCTAAGGAAGGGCTTCAACTCAAGTCCTGCATCCCGAAACGGCCTATCAACTTGGGCATCTGGGTTACTAAGGGCTCGAAACAAGGGTCGCATTCCTTTAGTCAAGGAAGATTGAAGCCAATCAAGATAGTGAGCACTTTTGGTGGCAACGTGGGCTTCACGGGCAAGTTTTTGTTGGGCTACTGTGACTTTTTGCCACTCCCGACTTGGCATAGCACCACTCAAAATCTGCAAAGTTTCATCTTTCCATTGCTCCCAAGTTGTTCGGGCCTGCACGGCCCAGTGAACCTCAGATTCGTTCAACAAATTGATAACAGACTCTGGAATGCCACAAGCATAGCTCGGCTGTTTTTTGGCCCAAACTGCAACTCTATCCCAGAAGGACGCTGACTTCCCATGCCACACCCGATCCGGGTGCGAGGGAGGGCTCAATGCTTGGTGGATGATTGCAAAGTATGTGCCAGGCGCTTTCTGGGTCACTCCACAGGTAGCTGCAGCAGCCTGAGACCACGAAGCAAAGGAAAGCGTGATTGACGAAGGGTTGGCACACCCTTCCCACCGGAAGCAATCAAGCTGAGGACCTTCAACGAAAGAATGGCAAGGCGCTGAAGTGATTTGTCGATAGCTCGGGAGCTGCGGCACAATCAAGGAACAGTCGGCCTCCAAAGTGAACTTGAGTAGCCCATGTGGCCTGAAAGGTGCATCCCAGGCAATGGTACAACCGATGCAGCCAGATAGACGATGACAGATGAGGGAATAATCAAGGCATGCACCGTCATCAGTGGTTGGGCCCCCTGGCGAGAGCAGCAACCCCTTGGCCTCAGTAGGAATGTTGGTTGCCTGAAGGTCCGTGATTGGAGTGTTGAAGTCACCCATCACAATCCACGGCACAGCAAGGTCTCTCACACAGGCCAGGAGATTTGCAACAATTGAACAATTCGGTTCGGTCTGAAGGGAAGAACCCGATTTAAGGTAAAGATTAAGCACCGCCAAAGTCCAATCTTTAAACCTAAGGAAATCAACCAAGAAACCACAGCCTTCCTTTTGATAGTCAAGGGCTTGCCTGACATTTCGGTGCGCCGGCGCAATGGTGACAAGGCCTCCTCGGATCCCTGGTGTGTCACCTTTATGCCCTGGCCCAAAATGACCAACAAGGCCACGTGGATTTAGCCAGGCCGCAGCAGCGGGCACATCTTTGCGAAGATGTGTTTCCTGGACACACAAAAGGTCAAAGGGGCAGCCTCTACCCCCAAGCCAGTCCTTAAACTTCGGACCCCAAGTAGTGATGTTCAGGCTGAGAAGGGTGACCGGATGAGGTCGCGGACCGGCCCTGGCAGGGATCAATTGTTTGATGGCTGCCTGGGTCCATGCTGGGTTGGACTCATCAACAAGACACTGCATCATGGCGTAGCCTGCCCACCACTCCAAAGAGGGCTCTTTGAAGTGGGTTTGGATGTCTTCAGCAAGTTTTATAATCTCACTTTCAACACACTTGTAGCCTTGGGTCTCGGCCTTCTCGAGGAGATGCAACGCAAGACACCAGTCAACAGGTTGACCTGACTCACCAGGCTCTTTCCGAGTGCTGCCAACAGGGCGCACATCGGGCCAAGTGCCCAAAACTGATGGTGCACTGCTTAAGGTCGCTGAGCTTACGGCACTCAGATTTGTCCCAGCACTGCCCTCATGTGACCAAAGCTCGATCCCTGCTAAAGCCTCTGGGTCTAGATCTCCTGTGTGAACGCAAAGCGTTCCCAAAACGGAGCCACGGTTTGACACAGGTTGGAAAGCATCGAGTCCGGTTGAGTTTGGATTGCCACCCCGAGTGCCGCCAACAGGGCGCACTTCCGGCAGCGAACCGTGACCTGCAGTGGCATCGCTCCCATCCGGTCCCCCAGGACCCTGTGGCCCTCGGCCCACCTCCTCCTGGAAAAGACTCCTACTCCTGGTCATGACCTCCACCTCCTGGGTCCTGGGGGCTCCCCGCTCATGGAGCAGGGGCTCTATTGGTCCAGTTGCACCGGAAGGGATTGAAGGAGCAGGCCTAGCACTCGCAGAAGTAATGTCAGGGACGCACTCACCATCTGATGTCTCACAAGGCAATGTTTCCTGGCTGTCCGCAACCGGAGCGGCTAAACCCGAAATTTCCCCTGCTAACTTTCCTGTTGGGATCTCAGATGCTCGTTTTGGGCCTGAAACCGAAAAAATGGGCCCAGGTCCTTGGGGCTCCTCACAAGGGAGTATAGACCTGGGCCCATTTTTCTTGGCTAAGAGCCCTGAAGGAAAATTCGCAATTTCCCCCTCGCCGTCGGAAGATGTGCATGCATGATCAAGAGAGCGCAGCACACCTTGAGATGCGAGTCGGATCCACCGATTGCGACGGCGCCTCGTGCGCCGAGAGACCGATGACAACAGTCGACACCGATCGGTGTGTGATGAAGCCCTGGCCTCTACCCCTGAAACCCCTGATCCCAAACTCACACTAGCAAGGTTGATTTGCTCATCTGAGGCAAGATCAGCAAAGGTCTCAGCCGAGAAAAAGGAAGGTCCTGTGATAGAGGCTTCCGAAACCCCTGCATATTGGGATTCAGCAGGCCTACTGGCACGGCTCCGGCAATTAGCCCATTTACACAGGCATCCTGGACAGTAACGCATCACGTCACTCAGAGCTGTAAGAATGGCATCAGAGGGCTCACTGCACTGAGCATGGTGTCCTGCAATCAAGAAATCCCGGACCTCCCGATCTGCACTGGCCCCTAATGACCTGATGTTGACCACACGCGACACAGAAGCCCGGCCTCTCGGAAAAGGCCGCCCAACTAGAGAGGCCAGAGGAAACGGCATGCATATCAAGCCCACTCTGCAAATTGGGGTTAGGGTCCCGAGGGTCTGAGTCAGCACACGGGTTAGGGCAAGCAATTGAAAGCGATCCGCCACTGCCGTTGCCTCCTATCAAGTTGGCTGCAGGATCAAACCTATGGGGACAAGCCGACTCAATAGGCAACTCACCCGACATCCGAGGGTATCCTCCAAGAAATCCCCACAGTTGCAAATTGGGGCTAGGGCCCTGCAAATCAGGGCAAGCACACGGGCTAGGGACCTGAAATGGCACCTGGCCACCTTCCATTCTGAAATCACGCAGCCCAGCGAGCCCCAAAGGTGGAAACCCCATGAGACTGTGACTCAATGCTGATTGTGTGGTGACCTTCGCACAGGGCGCCTTAAAGATCCTGTCCACAGGTTGGCCTGAACGCACGTAAGGATCCAATAACAGCACCTGCGAGGATGGGGCGCTGGGCCTGAAGGGGTAAAAACACTGCTTGCAAATGGGTGACCTCAAGGAGCTTGGGCAGGAAGGGATGGCAGGTATCGGCGCGGCACAGACTGAGCACTGCACAAGAGGACTCAAAGAACCTGAATCAGCCTCGGAAAACCCATCCCCTGCAACCCCACACCCTAAAATGAACCCTTGCAAGCTTGAGGGTTCGGCGTGTTGCCGGCCAGCACAGCTTGAAGCCGACGCAGCCTTCGAACACATGTGGCAAACTTCAGACATGCAGTCCCCAGCGACAGAACTCACAGTTCGTGAGAAAGCCAGCGGCGCTGCACAACACACACAGGATAAGATGTGCACAGACTCGCCCCCAACGGACTCGTCCGAATCGGAAGCTACACTGCACTGCCGGCTCAAAAACAGATTGCAGAAATCTCCAAGGCCTGGTCCAGGACCGGGTTCATCCGCACTGGAGTGTGGCCCTAAAGGTGGGAAAGGTCGGGATTTTAGGGCCGGCAGCAGCCCCGAATCATGAAAGTGTACATGTTTTGCACGGCTTCGGCCTTCAATCAAAACACCCCGATCTTGATCAAGGTAACCACCAACCCTAATCCCAGACCCCTATCCCTGAGTCCGACCCCTACTGCGCGAACGCGGCTTCTCACGTGTCCCATCCTGGACAGGCTGCTGGATCCCCTGCGGCTGGGAATTTGATGCTGGCGGCCCTTCAACACTAATGCTCAGCCGGGTGGCTTCTGCCGGGGCCTGCTCTGTATCAATGTCCATGCTGCCCTCTAAGAGAGCCTGCTGCTCACTGCTAAGGGTGATACCACACTGAGTCAAGGCCAAAAGCACAGTCGCTTTGTCGGGCACGGACGGAGATTCAGCACCTGATTGCACCTTGGCCTCAAGATCCTTTTGAAGCTGCGTCACCTCAGATTGCTTATCAGACAGCTCAGTTTGGACATTTTTCATCTGATCAAGAAGGTCAGCGTACACAGCTTTTGCCCGGTCAATCTTGATTTGAAGTCCGGCTGATTTCTGGATGAGCTGGCGCAGCTCACTGGAACTAGACTTAAACTTCTTAGTTGCCGAGAGCATCAGCTCTGTGGCCGTGGGTTCTGGTGCACGGGGCTCCAAACTTTCAATGGCCTTCTTCAACGAATCTGGCAGCTGATCCATGTGCGCCTTCACAAGTGACTTGAGATCGGCAGGCTCAGCATGATTGGGGTCCTGGAAGCCAAGCTGTTGCAAGAGGGACTTCTGCTCGGGAGAAGCAGAGGCCCACAGGGCTTGCGTAGCAGCCCCACTGTCCTTCATTTCAGGATGCTTGCCTTTGCCTTTGCCCTTGCCCATGCTGCCCAAGAAACCCGTGAAGGGAAGCCCTGGGGGAGGCTCAGGCTTGGACTCTTCCTTCGGCTTCCAGCCTGCTGCCACAAGCCCTTGCTGCACCTCCGGGGAAAACTTATCCCACAGTGAAAGCAATGCCTTATGAATCTTGGGACCAGGGCTGCGAGGCTGTGATCTTTGAGGCCTGGCTGCCTCAACTGCACGATCCTTCCAGACACGCGCTGCAGGACCTCGCTTCACACCTGGCCAGCGTTGGCCGCACACCTTGCAGCACTCCAGTTTATCAGCTCCGATACGGTCACTCCAAACCCAAGCGCCACATGTGGCGCAGACCGTGTATGCACGGTTTCCGGTCATGCTGGCTGTCTTTAGTCCGCCTGCAAGAAAAACTCCTCAACTGTACTTTTGCAACAAGTAAACGGGCAATTTTGCAAGGCCCAAAATCCAAGAGATTCTGCACAAGAAAACAAGGATTGGTTCACAAGGTGCAAGAAGAGTTCGCAAGCGGTTTCAAGCAGTGGTTCAAGGAACTATGGCACTACGCTACTGCACTTCAGCCGGAGCTGGGACTGCCGCTACCCCTGCGCGCCCGTGCGGGACAGCCCGCCTACGAGAAAACACAGAGATTCGGTTTGAGGTCTCTTTGGGCCCACCCTTAGATACGGCCTCAGAAGCCCAGCGCCACGACGGCAACAAAGCGTCCACTCGCCAGTTTGAACCACAACTTGAGCCAAATGGGATTTTCTCGGTCTTGCGCTCTGAGTCGCGGCCGCCGTAGCGGCAAGTTCGGTCTGGGCTGTACTCTGACAGCAAAAGGAGGAGGGCAGCCTTGTTTAAGGCGTCCTCCGCTAGGCCTACTCCTATCCCCCGTTCCTCCCAATCTCCGTTGGGAGGTTGCCGGAGGAGCTACTTCGGACCTAGTCTAGCCCTCCTCCCAGGCTTTTGCTGGCGAGGTTGAAGCAGCCTCAGGGTTGGCCCTGTGCCTCCCGGTGCCGGTGAGGAAAGGAAGCCGGCCATGGCCTCAGCTGTTCACCTCCTTGTGCCCCCTGCCTAGGCGGGCTCTGCTGGCTTTGACCACCTCCCTCAGCCCCCTTCTTGAGGTGGGTCTTTGAGGCTGAGGAGATCCCAGTCTCCGCTGGTGAAGACATTTGCTCGCGACCTGAGCAAACAGATCTCATCCCTGGGGGAAAAGCAGAGGATGCGCTGAGCATGGAGTGAAGCCACCACCCACTGCCCAGCATCGCTCCTGCTGAGTTCCTCCACCAAGGTGCGAGCCAATGCCCGGTGGTCTCGGTGAAGGGATTCCACTTGCACCCTCAACCAGTCCGCCGTGGCGGGAGCACTGTGGTGGATCCAGTTCCACCAACTTTCAAGCTTCCTCCTTGGAGGAAAGCCTGGTGGTGCAGATTGCGGCTCCCAATCTGCAGCGTCGATGACAACGATCTCCTCCACGCAGGAATTTGGCGACATCTTTCGGATGCCCCAGTTGCCACGATTTAAATCGCGGCACAGCATGCCCGCACAACTGACCCCCAGAATAACCATCGCCATGTGCAAAACCCTTGCACTGGATGGTTCTGGGTACATTGGGCTTAGCCGTTCCACCTCCAAAATGGTCACAGGCACCTTGCCCCATGTACCAATCTGGAGGATTCCAGGGCCCACCTCCCGGGTCTTGCTTGCGCATATCCCGGGGATGACTTGCCCTAGGCGACTCTCTGGCCCATGGCCAGATCGGCGGTTTGGCTCCTGCTCGCTGGAAGTAAGTTTCCAGCACAAGGCGGGATTTCCTGGGCATTCGAAGGTTGCCCGGCTGCCCCCTATTCCAAGGAGGGCATAGCAGTCGCTGAAACCCCGTAGGGCTAGCGAGTCCCCAACCTGAGCAAGCCAGTGGATAGTGTTGTGAGACCTCTTCACATGTGGCGTGAAGAGGATCAGGGGTGTGTCCCCCACTTCCACCGGCCATGTTGGCCTAGAAGGGCCCTCCTCACTTTTTGGGTGAGTCGGACTCCCCTTTTGGCCTGCTGGTTCACTTGGGGCCTCGCCAGGGTGGGTCGGGCCCCCTTGTGTGGCCGAGGGCTGGCTCTGCTCTTGACCCGGGTGGGTCGAGCCCCCCTCCTTTGCCACCGAAGAGGCCGCGGCCCCTTTTGGGGACGATTCTTTGGAATCCGAGGACTCCTCTTTCACTGCCTCCGCCGGGCTTGTGGCTTCGTCTGTCAACTCAGCCTCGGCATCGGCTGGTTTCGCCTCGGATTCTCGGGCAGGTTCCTGCCTAGCCGGGGGCGTGCGGCTCCGCTCTGTGCCGCTTTCACTCCCTTTGTTAGGCGAG